GAATGGGTGCCTCCATTTCACTCCAATTTCGTTCCAGGGAATTAAAACTTGCCGAGATTCCATTCCTGTAATTCCTTTATATCGGAAAAGCATATTGACAGGTTTATTGAGTTAAGAATGAACGCCCCATAAAGCTGACATCAACCGATGAAACAAAAACTGCAAAAAAAATTTAGGCATTGCTATTTTTAGGCATGTTGGTAAACGGAACTCAAAAACGCATTGAGAGCCAACATATTGAGCGCATTGCTTTGTCGTCTGCCTTACGTTGTTTGTAAGCGCTTTATATGTTTTCGAGCGTTTATTTCGTGTGAACAAATATATACGCCTTGGAAGGGGAAGAATATCGCGAATCCGCGCCCGGGTCTATAGTTTGAGTTTGCAGAAGCACGCAAAACACGTTACCAAAGTCCAGGGCTAGTAGCTTGATGACAAATCTCGCGCAATAGCTCACCCTTCTGATTACTACCCTCAACTTTATTTTTGTGCGGTCACCTCACCCCCTCCCCCATCTGATGTAGGATGGCTCCCCCAGTTATCAAACTAACTGAAGGCTTTTATGTACAGGAAGCTTGCATGCCATAGTGCCCGTTATTTCTAACGTATTGAGGACTCCGTTGCGATGGTTACAAATATTCAACATACTCATAGCAACTCACTCATGTTCCTACTCGTTGCTACTCACACTCAAAGCAACTCACTCACTTTCGCAGTCAAGTCTACTCACGCTCATGAGTACTCACCCACGTTCGTACTTACTCCTACTCACATTCATGAGCTCTCACTCACTCCTAATCACACTCATGAATACTCACGAATACTCACACTCATCATTACTCACTCATGTTCAAACTCACTTTTACTCACACTCATGAGTACTCACTCACGTTCATACTCTCCTTCTCACACTCGGAGTACTCACTCACGTTCATACTCACTCCTACTCACATTCACAAACTCTCACTCATTGCTACTCACACTGATGAATACTCACTCACGTTCATACTCACGGATACTCCCACTGATGAGTACTCACTCACGTTCAAATTCACATATACTCACACTCATGAGTATTCACTCACGTTCATACTCATACTCACACTCAAAGTACTCACTCACGTTCATACTCACTCTTACTCACACTCAAAATACTCACTCACGTTCATACTCAATTCTACTTACGCTCAGAGTACTCACTCACATTCATACTCACTTATACTCACACTCAGAGTAGTCACTCACGTTCATACTCACTCCTATTCACACTCAGAATACTCATTCATGTTCATACTCACTCCTACTCACACTCATGAGCACCCACTCACGTTCATACTCACTTCTACTCACACTGAAAGTACTCATTCACGTCCATACTCACTCTTACACATACTCATGAGTACTCACTCATGTTCTACTCACTCCTCATACTCATTAGTACTCACTCATACTCACACTCACCACGTTCAAATGAGTATAAATGAGTGTGAGTGAGTGTACTCGTGACTAAGTATGACGAGCTATGGATTGGACAAGATTGTCACAGGGAGGAGGAGATGAATCATACAAAGTTTGCCTTTTCTTGGTGTTCGCTGTTCCTGGCTGGTCACGTTTCCTGTACTTGAAGTTTCTGGCTAGCATTTTCCGCTGGCTCGATTCGTGCCGACAGGGAACAACGTAGGTAACATGTGCTGCTGCCACACAGCACCATACACAACAGAAACAGGTCGCAAGATGACCACGACCTGGGACCCACGCCGAGAGTGGCACTGCGGTTCCAGGTGCTGCCTGTGAATTGTAGGGAGAAAACTCATTTTTGACTGTTGACACTTCGGCTGTCCTGTTCAAGCTGCCTTGAAAACGAGTTGATTTGGTCGCGCACTGCACGTGTTCCGCGCATGTTTTTACGGGTGTCATGGCATGCTAAGCGTTCCAAGATCTACCCGATTGAAGGCTCCTTTCTTTCCTGCATTGTGGCGAAGGGGCAGCGCATACTCAGCTTTGTGGGAGATGGGAACAAGTGATAGCAGACGGTGTGGCGTTCAAAACACCCAAAAAACAAGAGGCTGAATTATTACAAGGCCGAATGTCAGAACGATGAAAAAATTGAAATGTTGAAAAAATATAATTGCTGAAAAATTTAAAATGCCGAAACATCAAAATGCCGAAAATACCAGCACCTTGCTATAGTAGAAAATAGTGTCTAGCTGTGATTGAGCATCCACTAGCCTGCACGCTTTTGCGCTCGCTTTCGCCCTCTTTTTTAATAACCATGAATTCCCTTCGTATATGGGTCAAGCCTTTAAAAACAAGAAAAAAATATATTTCCTTGTTCATTCAATTTGATACAGATAAATTGTGTGCAATGCCTCCCAGGAACACTTAAAACATTCACTATGTCTCGACTGGGCAGCGCAGCTGCCAAACGATCTTGGACAACTGATCTTTCGTCACTTCTGCAAAGATTAATTGTCAGGAGAATATGCTTGATGATGATGATTCTTTCATTGTAAATACTTCAAAATTTTTTATAATTTCAATTCGAGTTGAAATGAAGTTCAGCAAAGTACTATTCATTCAAATGTTCGAAGCATTCCAATATTTGCACAAGCCTAGAATCTATGCATACAACTGTTCGAGACCTTGATGTACAGTCGTAGCAAAGTCCAGTACAAGAATAAATGTGGGCGTGCTGGTTCTGCTATGGCAGTTTTAAATGGCATTGCCAAAACTCTTCGAAGGCTCTAAATATGCTTTCACTCCACACTTGTTCAGAACAGATCACCATCAGCCTGAGTAAACCCACTGTGGGGCGAAGGCTTGTTCTATGTTCCTTTAATCAACTCGATCCTGTGGTTGCTGCTTTCACGTTGTACCCGCAAACTTGTTTATCTCATTAGGCATACTATTCGTCTACCCTTCGCACGGAGAGGAGCACATTCAGCAAGCACACTCGAATCATGAATGGCAGTTTGCCCTAATCCCTGAAGAGGAAGGTATACGACAGCTGCATCTTAATGGTACTTACCTACGGAGCAGAAACCTGCAGGTCTACAAAGAGTGAGGACGACTGAGCGACTGAAGGAAAGCAAAATGATAGGTGTAACCTTAAGGGGGAGATGCGGGTTGAAGAACGCAAGTTTTTCTAGGATATGCCTGTTTTTTGTTTCTATTTGCTTTCACTATATTAGAGTTTTCTCTTCTTTCACGACAAAAAACTTACGATTGTAATTAAACTGGAAGTAGGTTTATATCGATTTTAAAGAGCACAAGGTGGCTATTTAAGAGTAAAATGAGCTCATTGTCTAGAGTCCCCGAGAAATTGTAGCTTGGCTGCTTGTCATTACATTTTCCAAGAGGAGTTCACTAAAGTCATAGGCTCAATATAACGATTGCCAATATATATATATATATATATATATATATATATATATATATATATATATATATATATAAACAATTCTTTGCTGCATTGATGAGCTTTGACTTGTACTTATAAAATGGTTTTTTCTCAAGATTCATTTATGGGCAACTTCTTGAGTTTAGACATCATGTTTTTAGTGCATCAAGGAGCCACATCAGGATGGATTTCGTCCACATATTTGTTATGTAATGATGAATGTGAAATGTGATGTGTGATGAACTTGTGAAAGGTGTAATTATCTAATTAAAACTTTTTATGCCTATATAAGTATTACTAAGCTAAAGCAAACAATTAGTGTGGGCTGAGTATTATAAAAATGCTCACATAGTAATATTTTTGGTCCATTAAAATGTGTTATACACACTTTCTTGATAGTTATTTGCATTCTACATTTAGTGTGGAGAAATATGAGACATTAATGACTGAGAAACTTAGAGGCTTAGTGGCTTAGAAAGTTTGCTAATAATGAACTATACTTACCATAAAACAGAGCAACTTACATTAAATTCAGGTACATATTTGAAATTAGCATAGAAGCTTATATATGTATGGCAAATATTTTATTGGCCTAGGTTGCAGATAAAAGACACTTTTTTTTTTTTTCAAATTGTATCTCCCTTTAAAGGACAGGAAGAGAGAAAAATAGGTCAGGGAACAAATGGGGGTTAAGGGTATTATAGTTGAAATCAAGTTGAATCAAGACATGGGGTGGGAACGTTGGCAAGATAACAAGGTAACTGACTGGATTTCAATAGTTAAGACTCATCACAGGCAAGGATGGTCAGGCGCAACTGTAACGATTTGGTAGATTTGGCCTATTGAGTAGGCCGTAGCACCCCCACTTCGGTTATTCATTTACTTTTTTGCTTTCCTTCTCATCTTTTTTAGCCCTTTCCTTCTCCCCTATGGGCAGGGTAGCAAACCAGTTGACCAAAATTTACTTTCTCCCTCATAAACACAAAACAACTGACAGAAGAGACTCATAAGCAGGATGGGACCATCAACTTATCCAAATTTCTGCACTGAGTGATGATTTTGCTTTAGAAGCATGATGTGGCACACAAACGGTCAAGTGTTACAAGTCAGAAAAATTGCCTGTTGAGAACTGGATGGTTCAAACCATACTTTAATGTAATTTCATTAGAGAGAACTTTGGCGCTGGTGTCTTTGGGAGCTGCAACGCATGACTTTTCAGCCAGCCTGGAAATGATGGGTAGTATACGGAGATCTAATCTTCGTTTTTTTGGCTCCGCTTAGCTCCGTGAGACCTAGAGCTCCATAGTCTCAAGACGAAGTTCAGCAAATGTTCAGCACTTACATAACATTGCCTTAACCTTCAGTCTCATCTGTTTAAATTGGCTCAGGAAACTTGCAACAATCCATTCTTTTAATCAGAACGCTAAGGGTAGGCAAACAGTACCCATGATTCCCATAGTGGCTGAATGGTTGTAATGCCAGAATTTGCTCTAGTGAATATTGTAGCAAACTCTGCGGTTCAAATGGGGACATTCGAGTTGGTCCATTCTTGCTTTTGTGTTGCCATGTGAGTCAGCCATTTTTTTTTATTTATTTCCCCCAGCAAGAAGTCGCTCCAAGATGGCAAGAGCCCTATTCGAGGAGGAATACCGCTCGTTTTCCGTAAGCATTTCCTGGCGACACGTTTTGAATAGAAGTGACGTGAGGACTGCATGAAAAAGCGGCAGGACCTGGTGTGATTGTCATGTCAATGTATTCCATAAATCACTCAACCACATCTACAGCGGTAAAAAAAAAAAAAAGAGGGGGGCACCTGAATCCATGTGCGTAATGTGCTACTGTTGCAGAGTGTCAATTCTGAAAGTTAGACAGCAGATAGAATTATCAGATCTTTTATTTTAATAAGCAGTATCAAGAAATATTACTCATTAATTAAAGTAAGTAGTTTCTTTCACACTGTGCTAGAAATAGAAAAAAAAATTAAGGCAGCTTCGCAGTAGAGTTGCCAAGCCCGAAGAAGTGTTTCTTTATCTCTTTCTTTTTCCCATTTCTGTCTCATATTTTCTCAATGTTTCTATCTCTTTGTCTCTTTCATTCTTTTTCTTGCTTTTTCTATTTTTCTCCCTTTCTCTCTATTTGGTGCGTGTTTCCTCTGTTTTCTACTTTTTTATAGCAGACTCGCGATAATTCAAACTCTGATAATTCATACTTTTGGCGAGTGTCAAGAAATATTACTCATTAATTAAAGTAAGCAGTTTCTTTCACACTGTGCTAGAAATAGAAAAAAAATTAAGGCAGCTTCGCAGTAGCGTTGCCAAGCCCGAAGAAGTGTTTCTTTATCTCTTTCTTTCTTTTCCCTATTTCTGTCTCATTTTCTCTCAATGTTTCTATCTCTTTATCTCTTTCATTCTTTCTCTTGCTTTTTCTATTTTTCTCTCCCTTTCTCTCTATTTGATGCGTGTTTCCTCTGTTTTCTATTTTTTTATAGCAGACTCACGATAATTCAAACTCTGATAATTGACACTTTTGGTTAATCCAAAGAAAATTAAAATTTTTAATCCTCATAGCCTAAAAATGAAAAATAAACAGCTTAGGCCTTTAAAGAAAAAGGCTTTGCTCGTAAAGAAATGTTTGAAACAAAGGACACGCATGGTAAACTGATTCTTCTCAACTGGTAGAGAGCTTTGTGCTGAAGCACATACCTACAGCATAGAAGCAGTTGGTGATTCACGATTTCTTTAGTCTGATAAGCAGTAAATGGCTAATAAGCTTGTGGACCTCTGCTTGTGTAACCTCTGCATTCTGTTCATTGTGTGCAGTTGGGTTTTACAATTGTGTAAAAATTTTTAAATCTGATAAAGTTAATGCCTAATTATAATGCGTGATGTCACCTAACTCACAGTCATATATCTGAGAACTTCTGATAATTCAAACGCTGTGGAAATTCAAACAAAAATGCATAGGTCCCTTCGAGTTTGAATTGACAAGAGTCGACTTGGTTCTGCCTATGTTATGCATTACATTTTTTTTTCCCTGATGATAAGTGCTCCCACTTATTATGAAGGTGCTCAAAGAACAGGAGAAAGACTTCTTCTTTGTGTGAGCTCAATGGTTATTGATTTTATTTATTTATTTATTTAAAAATACCTTACAGGCCTCTGTTGAGGCATAAGGGGGGCAGTACAAATGGTGCAATTTCAGTATCGTTTACAAAATATAAGTGCATGAACAGCGTTTATGAACCAAGTGACAAAGCGCAGTGCAATAGAAAGTATTTACGGCACTACTGGTAAAAAATAATCACAAAATTAGCAAAGATAAAACGTATAGCAGGGGAACAATCACAGGAGGCATTACCTCTAAAGTAATGCAGTCAAGCAAACTTCAGATTTTATACAATTGAATTGGTTGACATATGAAGAAAATAAAAAAAGCAACACTACGATGTCATTTAATGGTAAATTAAAAACAAAACAAAAAAAAAGAGAGTACAATGACTCAAAAGGCATACAGCTATAATGGCACATTTTTTTGTGCTTCCTTGGCCAGATAACTGGTCAACGCGTCACGGAACATAGTAGTGTTTTGTAGACGTATGATGCTATATATGGCAGGGAGTTCCAACATCGGACAGTGTGTGGAAGTGCTGACCTATCAAATGCACGTGTTGATCCCTAAATGCACTAAATTATGAAGCCTGTGTGACGTAAAGTAGGGTCATGTTAAGCATGCCAGTGTTCGAGATGAGTGAATGAATTTATGTAACTATCAGCAAGGCAATGTCACGGCGAGTACTCAGAGGTTGGGACCAAAGGTCAAGTTTGATTTGTGTAACACTTGACTGATACCTGCAATTGTTAGAAATGTGCTACACATAGGGTGTTATGCCAAGCAGCATAGGATCATAGCATGCAGTCGCACACAACGGCACCCGGTCCCCTTGAGTGCTCCGTACTTAAAATTGCACCCCTTCACGAAGCAATCGTAGCTGCACCTTCTCTTGCTAACAGTAAAATATTGAAACATCCGATCAGTGGTCACATGATGATGATGCCCCGCCACGGTGGTCTAGTGGTTAAGGTACTCGGCTGCTGACCCGCAGGTCGCGGGATCAAATCCCGGCTGTGGCGGCTGCATTTCCAATGGAGGCGGAAATGTTGTAGGCCCGTGTACTCAGATTTGGGTGCACGTTAAAGAACCCCAGGTGGTCTAAATTTCCGGAGCCCTCCACTACGGCATCTCTCATAATCATATTGTAGTTTTGGGAGGTTTAACCCCACAAATCAATCAAATCAATCAATCAGTGGTCGCATGAAGAGGACGAGGCGGACTGACTCGTGAGCAGCACGGCGACCTGTTTTCGGTTCTGAGATCTATCTCTCGTAACGATTCCTTTATAGTGTAAATAAACACATTCCATCATCACGATTGTGCTGGATAAGCCAGCTACTGCCAAGCGACACTGGAGAGCAACTGTCTACTAACGAAGGAACCACAACAGTCGAGCTTCGCCGCAGCCGTCGACTTGCCCCCACTATCCCAAGAGATGAGTTCGGATGGAGATATCCAGTAGCCGTTCATGAGGCAGTCGCCTTATCACTAACGTGAGCCACACACCTTCTCAGAGAAATCTGGCGATGACATTGAAGAATGGCCCAGCCACTATCAACGGGTGAGTCAAGCCGATGGCTAGAATTCCTCTAGTCATTCGCTCACGTGGGTCTATTTCTCGACTGCGCTGCTAGTATGGTTTGAAAACCATGAGGACACCTTGACAACCTGGGACCAATTCACGGAGGAGATCAAGAAATGCTTTGGCGACCTCGCGACGAAGAGGAAAAGTGCAGAGCAAATGTTGTCGCAGAGAGCCTGTGGTGAGACTTGAAGAATGTATATTGAACAGGTGCCAAAATTGTCAACATGACTGAAGAGGATAAGGTGGGCCCCATTCTCAAAGGAATGGCAGAAGATGTTTACCACTTCCTTATCATCAAGGTGAGTCTTGAATCTGTGGCTAATGGGATCAAGCACTGCCAAATCTTTGAGGTCCTAAAAATTCACTGCAACACTTTGAAGTTTGGACGCCTGGCCAATGTCACGACAATTACCACTGTCGATGTTTGCCAAAACTTCTTGCCTGCAGACCTTTTTTCAGCGATGCACCTCATTGTACATGAACTTTATCACCACGTTTATGTGCCCGTGAACACTCAAGTCCCACCTTGTCCTCGTCCTCTTCATTTGCCCACCGTTATGTCAATATGGACGCCCCTTTCTTGTACATTAAAGGGACACTAAAGGCAAATGACAATTTTATTTATTTATTTATTTGTTAAATACTGCAGGCCAAAAAGGCCCAAGCAGGAGGGGCACAAACACAAACACAATATCAGTACATGAGTAACACAGCTTGACTAAAATACATCTGTGTAGGAGAAGAGCGAATAGAAGAGAAACATCAAAAAAAAAAAAAAAATCAAGCGATATTGGGAGGGGGGGGGGGGGGGTCAAGATTCACAGAATTAAACAATGGGTTCATCAAGATCGAAGGTTTGGAGGAAATCAGAAGGCAAGTTATTCCATTCTGTTACAGTTCTCGGAAAAAAGGAAAACTTAAATAAATCTGTCCGCGCAAAATACGGAGTTAAAGATCGGACATGAGAATGACGAGTTTGCCTGGTCGAAACTGGGGTAACGTAATGTGATGGGTCTAGCCCAAGTTTATTGTTAATTAGTGAGTCCAAGAATTTTAGACGGAGAAGCTGACGCCGCGATTGTAGCGTCTGGAATTCGTTATCTCGCATTAGTTCAGTAACTGATGTACCACGACCATACTTTGAGTAAATAAAACGCACTGCTCGTCTTTGAATCTTTTCGAGGGAATATATGTTAGACTTAGTATGCGGATCCCATACAATACAAGCGTATTCAAGCTTTGGACGTATTAAAGTGTTATAAGCTAATAGTTTCACTTGCGACGGGGCGTCTCTGAGTTTGTGCCTTAAAAGACACAGTTTACGGAAAGCCGATGACGAAACATCGGCAATGTGTGCATTCCAGGACAACTTATTCGTTATCGTTATACCTAGGTATTTGTATTGACTGACTTCTTTTAAGGGTTGGCTTTTGGAGGAATAGGAAAACTGAAGGGGATTTTTTTTGTTAGTAATTCGAAGGCAAACAGATTTATCAAAATTGAGCACCATGCCCCATTTGTTACACCACGATAGAATATTGTTAAGGGCAGTGTCGAGAGCAACCTGGTCATCTGGCGAGTGTACATCTGTGAAAATAATGCAGTCGTCTGCAAAAAGTCTTATTTTAACTGAATCAGTAATAGCATTAACAATATCATTGCAATAAATTATAAACAGCAGCGGACCTAGAACACTACCCTGCGGTACGCCGGAATCTACTGGGAGATGAAGTGATGTCTGTCCACAGACGTCGACATACTGTTTCCGGCCGTTCAGGTAAGCAGACACCCAGGATACTAGGTAGTTTGGAAGCCCTATATTCTGCAATTTCTCGATGAGCTTGTTATGGGGAACACGGTCGAATGCTTTACTAAAATCTAAAAACGGTACATTGACCTGACCAGCTTTGTCTAAAATAGAAGCAATGTGATGAATAACTGAGACCAACTGGGTGACTGTGGAAAA